GGTATGCAAGAAGAAGAAGAAGAAGAAGACACGAACTGAGACACTTTTCGAAACGCCATTGGGCAGTTTTTTTCTAAGGAAGTTGCCCATTCTCTGGTAAACGTGGGGAACCGGGACAATCATGGGTCCATCTCAGCAATGATTAGGTCAGGACCCACCATTTGTTTGGGTTATAATCACCGCTAACCCTAGTTTACTTCTCCTCTTAATTAGGATAAAACAAATTGATTTATTGAATTCACTAGCAGTATGATAAAAAGTGTTCCACTATGAACCGCCAAAAGATAAAGACATATATATTATCTCTGCTATGCACACAGTAGACACATGGTTTGTTTTATCTAATCTCAATTACACTGATATCAAACTTCTAATGCCGCTTGCAATGATTACACATTTCACCTGTGATGAATAAAGCATAAAAAGATAACCGAGTAGTAGTAAAGAATGGTTTGTTTTTCAGAGCAGTAATTACATATAACACGAGATAGTTGATCAATTAAAAATTATAACTTGTAAAAAAAAGAAACTTAGTTAGTTGCTCAATAAGTGTCTTTGAGATACTAGTTATTAAAATCCATGAGATATTTCGTTGGCATCACCTAAAATAAAATTATTACTTGAGGTTAAACTTTAATATGTTTTGCGGGCTATTCACTCTTCCACCATTTCTAATTTAGTTTAGGGAACTGAAAACTATGAAAGTGCTGCTCCAAAGCATAATGATTGTGGCCTTGAGTTTAGAAACATCTTCTGCATCAACCTAGGCTCTAAGAGAAACAAATAGGACTTTTTCTACAAAACCCTAGCAAGCATGAAAATAGTATGTATACTTGTTCTTAGGGAAATTTATCAAAAAAAGTCATAAATCTTTTGTAATTATGCCAATTCAATCCATCCGGCCAATTTTAACCGGTAATTACTGACATGGACACCGGTCGTCTTACATAGCGCGACTAGTGCTGACGTTGACTTTTTAATAATTTTTTGAATTTTTGTAACTTATTTATTTATTTTTTCTATTTTATGTTCTTTCTCTTTACTTTTTTTTGGTGGGGACTGAGGCCGGCAACCCTCGCTGGCCACAGCCGAGGGTTGGTGACCCTCACTGGCACTAGGTGAGGGCTGCGACTGTGGTGCCCTTGCATGGCCCAGATCTGTCGATGGGCTGCACGCCCTCGCTTTGGCCTATGAGGGTGTCACAGACATAACGGCGGCCCGTGAGCCCTCGCCCAATGCCAGCGAGGGTTGGCTAGCAACCCTGGCCAGCCGTTACCCTCCCCTCCCCCCTCCCCTCAACAAAAAAAAGTACAAAGAAAAATAAAGAAAATAAAGAATAAAAATTTTTGAAAAATATTAAAACATTATTATAAAAAGCTCATGTCTGCACTGGTCGCGTCACGTAAGACGGTCGATGACTATGTTAGTGATTTACGGTCAAAATTTAGTTCTTTTTATACAAATACAAAAGGTTTATGATTTTTTTGTTGGTAATTTGCCCCTTATTCTTATGCGAACAAGAAGGTCCTCATCGAGGGCACTTTTCTCTAAAAAAGTTATGCCATGGCTCTTTACGTAGGATTTCCTTTTTCTCTATATATAGTAAGAGAAGAAAATCAGCAATGAGAATTGATGAGCCAATTGAAAGCGCAAGTTCTTTTCTTTTGAAATTAATTACAATCACAAAATAAATAAATAAATTGGAAGAACAATCGATTATAACCAATCTGTACCACAACCACGAATAGTCAATTTGCCACTCAAGATCAAGTGGGGGCCCAGATGACACTTGGATAACGTCTGAGACTTTTGCTTCACTTCTATACTTGTTTACAATCAGAAGATAAAGAAACTATACACTAAAATTAATAAAAATAAAAATAAAATAAAACTTTGCTGTTATAATTAGCTTTTGCAATACCCTTCACTCTTAAGTCCCCAAGCCTAGGCGAGGATCCGGCCCGATTCCCTGGAAAAAAAGCGAAAGTCTTGTTTTTTCTCTCCTTTTTTTGCTCATTAGCTTATCTTTCCGGCACGCACAAGCACTAATAAAATATTTCACGAAGCAAATCGAAGGACTATGATTAGCACATGTGTCACTCCGAGAAGGCATGGCCTTTGTTTCCTAGATTAAATATTGGAAAATTTTGATATATGACATAAACATGTAAGAGTCGATAAGTATATTAGGATTATGTACATCGTATCATGTTATATTTGAAATTTCTGTTTGTATATTTTGTTCCATATCATGCTGCATTCTGTAAACAGATCGTATGTCCAGTATTTCTATTGTTGAGAAACGATGAGGAACCAATGTAAGAGTTGTTTTGCTCTTTTTGTGATCGGAGTAAAGGTCTTTGATTGGTGGATTGCGAAGATGACAAAGTATCTCATATGCGAATTTAACTAAAAATAAATGTGAATAATGATCATTGTATTGCACACGTCTTTTCGAGGGGCCCAACTTGTGAAAGCTTAGGACATATTCCTTTTCACCCAGAAAATTATACAAAATAGTATATCATATGTGGGGAAAAATTTAATTATTATAAGATCGCGGACCAACCAACCAGAGGTCGCGTGCACTTGCTGGTGAGGGGCGTGGATACAATATTATATTGACTCTTCATCACTTCAAACACCAAAATAAAATAAAATAAAAAGAAAAGTCCTAAAAGGGCATTTCAAGAGCTATTTGTAATTATTTAGTCGGTGCACTTTTTGCAGTGAAATTGGAGTCTCTCATCTCATTGAGAGCTAGTTCTTGGTCATGCGTCACGCGGCAATGAGAAAATGCTTTTATAGGAAAATTGTAAATGGAGATCTATTTAAATAGCCATTTAATAAATTTCTCAATAATAAGCTTTTTATATGGAGGAAAGTGAGTCGCTAAATAACAATTAACTTTATCTATCGTCAATCAAGAAAATTCCTATTCCAGATTAGCACGTCGAAATCTATGGAATTGCTGAAGAGCACACACGAACTAGTGTTAGTGATTGATTTATCCACCATATCTCTTCCTCGATCTTAGTGAAAATTTGAACTCAACGATTTAGATCTTTCTTTTATAGGATTTCAACCACGTTTTAAGTAAATTTATCCAAAGAGAACAGAACTAAAGGTGAGTGATGTGTTGTTAGAGGGACGAGAACGGGAAACGGGTTGCGCCCATGATCATAATCGGCTTGCACCCAAATCGTGAGCTCAATGATCGTGGGCTAGCCCGCGTCGGACCATCAGCCACCGCGCGCAGCGAGACTCGCACCCCAAAAAAAACACCATTGTTTTCCTCCTTTGTGAGACCCACCTTTCACCACCAAGGGCTCATGGACATAACCAGCCAACGGACGATCCAATACTTCCGCTCAGCTCCGAGCTCAGTCAGGTCGGTACGGGGAGGTTTGTAATTACCTTTGATGGTGTATTTGAAGAGACATCACCATCGTATTGTCTAGGGTCGGCTCGGTTCGTGGGCCCCACTCGTGAAAGCCTCGGAAGTATAGCTTTTTTTTTACCTAAAAAATAATGTAATATGTATTTTTTGTCTGAGGAAAAACTAATTATTATAGGATGCGGACCAACCAACCAGACGTCGCGTGCGCTTGCTGGTGCGGGCCATTGATATTGATATAGTATTATATTGACTTTCCATCGCTTGATACACCAAAAGAGAAAAAGAGGAAGAAAATTCCTAAAAGGGCATTTTAAGAGCTATTTGTAACTGCTCAGCACTGCACTTTTTCCAGTGAAATTGGAGTTTTCTCATCTTGTCGAGCTTGTTTTGGGGGATGCAGCACGCGCCTATGAGAAAATATTCTTCTAGGAAATTTCATGTGGAGATCTAATCAAATTGCCCTTTAATAAAGTTTCAATGGATAGCCTTTTTCACTCTGAAAATAAGTATATGTTGAGCAACATTGATATTAGCAAGCGCTTACATTAGATGTAAGATGAACCACAACACATGATCTTAAGTTCACTATTGAGAGAACTATCTAGTAGATACACAAAAGCTACATAGAAACTAAAAATATGTGTCCAATAATTTCTATGATTACTTGTGCCTGTGATCTCGGGCTTCATATCTGTCGGCCAAAGTTCAATGGTGTTGGAAAGATTGGAGATTTTAAAAGGACACGCACGGAATCTTATTAACGGGGCGGTTCTCATATATGGATAGCAATATGTAGCACTAGCTAATACAAGAAAATGTCATGCATGAATATTGGATCTACATATATATGCTTGAGACATAAAAGAGGGCGGTTTTGCACTTGAATTTTTCATTACTTGCTTCCTAGCTTGCTCCTTTACCAACGCCAATACCATTTGTACTTGAACACTACATCTCTACAAAGAGTATTTCCCCATTAAGCTGCACTAAACAAACTACACTAATAAACTACACTAATTAGTAAGGTAAGTTTAAGAATGGTTTTATCAAAAGGGTCCAAGTAAATTTGCTCAAGTAAGAATTTGCTTTATTTATTTCTGAAAATTGAGCAATACTATTGAAGAACTAATATTGGAATGTTGTATATTCACATATATTATTCATAAGCCTAACATAAGTTAGTCTGAATCGCGCCCTCTAGTAATGAAAACTTTTTACCGCCCCATGTCCACACACAACCAGAAGGCCAACAAGGAAAGCAAAAGGAGAAAAAGAACGCAAGCTCATTAATTGCATATGATCTAATTCATTTATGTCAGTATAAGTCCCCCAAGTTATTTTAAGTGCACTTTTTTTGGTCGTGTCACTCAAGGACCCCCCAATAGTATTACAATATTTAATCACTGCAATCACTCTCTCTCTCTCTCTCTCTCTCTCTCACCCAAAAGAAAAAGAAAGAAGACATTCTCTTGTGGTCTCCATCAATGGCTGGTGGCTAATATAGTAGAAGTTCCACCTTCATCACTCTCTCTCTCTCTCTCTCCGAGCCATTTAAAGGTCTTCTTCCTTTTATCTGCGAAAGATAGAGAGAGAAGCTTTCGCAGCAATCAAGCGATCTCTGAAAGATAAGGAGAGAGAAACAGAGACCCCAAGTGATGAGAGCGATGGATTATTGCCATTAGGGCATGTGTTGTGTGCTGTGCTTGCTTCTTTCTCTCTTATTTAACCCCACCTCTTCTCATTTTTCCCATTCCTCAACCCTTCTTTCCTTTTGGCTCTCTCTCTTACTTTCTCTCTTTCCATTTCCTCGGGATCTGATGATCTCTCTCATATGTGCCTGGACAACAAGAAGACAAGTTCTCTTTTGTTCGAGACTTTTCATCAGTTGAGTCTCAATTCCCGAGGAAATTCTCTTCTCTCTCTCTCTCTCTCTCTCGTTTTTTCTTTGTTTATTTTTCTCTCTGGTATATGTTTTCTTGTCCTTCTTGTTTGAGAAAAAGTTACAGAAGAGTGACGATAGCAAAAGCCAGCAAAAAGAAGATTAAAAAGGTCGTGGTATTATATTCCTGAGCTGATAGTGAAGACACATACGGGGTTTGGTTCGATCCGGTCATCAGATCTGTTCAGTGTGAGTTCAGTTTCTGGGGTTTCTTGTTAAAGTTCTCTTGTTCTTGTTCTTGTTCTTCTTCATCTTCATCTTCTCCTTCTCCTCCTTGAACTTTGGTTTTGATTCTAATGCATTCACTTAATCGCAGTTAATTTGCAATAGAACGATCAGTGGTCGAGTAGGAGGATGAACGATGCTTCACATGCAAGTTTTAGGTTAGACATTAGGATTATCATTTTGTTCAGACAGGAAGCCATGATTGTGTTAAGCTAAAAGCTCCCATTGTTGCGTTGTTATCATTTGAGTGCTCTTGGGCACAAAACAAGTTTTAACTTAAAATTTCTGCCTGGATTCAGTTCTTTCTGGGATTTGAAAAAGATAAATTAGGTCACCTCATATTGATAGTTTCTGATAAATTGGTCTTTAGTTTCCTCTTTCTCCTAGACAAGTTTGCCGCTCCCAATGGTGTCGCATTTTCCATCTAGGTCTGTATTCTTTTTTCCCACATCTCACAAATTTAATTATTTTGTTTGTCATATGGGTGGCATCGATCATTAGTATCCAGTAACCTTTGAACAATAAAAACAACATGATTATTCTTGGTAATTTTAGCTAGCTAAGCTAGATTAATTATCTTTTCCATAGGAGTAATCTGCACGGAGATGTTTTTTGTTTTGTATTTTCATGAATTCATGAGTAGCTGGAATTTAATCAACTCTCCCATAAAACCAATATTCTTTCACAAAAATGTAAACCTCGATTAATGTTTAATCATAGAGAAAGGATGTAGAAAGGGTCATCTATTGCAAAAATGACATTACTATTATTTACATCATAGAAATTACTTGAAATCCATATGTCCGCATTACTTATTCGTTAGATTTTCATTTCTTTGATTGATTTCAGTTTTTTTGGGTGGAGAAAGATACTTTTGTGAACTGGGTTTCATGTTGTAGCATGACTGAACAGAAAAGCTAGCAGCTTTGAATTAGTTTTATTAGGTTTATCTACTTCTTTAACCAGTCTTCTTCATCTGATCTGATGAACAAGCATGTGAGCTATCTCCTTGCTTTGATTTAGTTTTCTCGCTCAGTAAATTTTACTCTGGCGTTTTCTTTTTGTACTAATCCACATTGAAAATACCTAATTAGTAAATATCATTTCCAGTAAAAGAAAAGCATCTAAAATCCGTAAATGATTTAAGTTTATAATCCTTCAACATGCCTGAACCATACTAATTGTTCTTTCATTAATAAATTGTAATTGTAATGTCGGTTACAACATGTCCCACTGGGCAATTAGATTTGATCTTTCAGAAGTGATTTGTCTCTTTTTTTTTTTAATCAGACAGACCAAAAAGTCTTCAGATGAGAGGAATATAAACCTAGCAAGCCTAGGTTGCTGCTATCTAGTAAAGGATTAAACATACTTCTCCCTTTCTCTTTGTCTGTGTATCTTTCTTTTACCTCCTTTTATATTGGATTTGGAGCTTGTTAAACTAACTCGTTGATTTCGTACCATATGTCAATCAAAAAAAATTTCAGTGCAGAAAAGATTAGTCCATCTGCAGATTGTCCTAAGAAGTGTTCAACAATTTATTGGAAAAGTGCACTAGAAATCCTAAAGCATGTGTACGGAATGCAATGAAGTCGTTAACCCCTCAAATGGTTCAATTAAGTCCTAAACATTTTTAAAAAGTGAAATTAAGTCCTTTTGATTAACAATACCTAAAATTGCCTTTGTAGCATCCTGAATTGCAGTGTTTGGCATAAGATTTACGATCCAATGCACATTTTAGTAAAACTATAGGTCTTGGCCAAACTAATTGAAATGTTTAGGACTGACTACATTCCCTACGTTAGATTTAGGACTTGTAGTGCAATTTTCCCATAATTTATTAGGGTAACTTGGTGCATATTATACCAAATAGTAAAACTCCGTGATATGAATTTCACTTAATGAAAAAAGTGACCAACAGAAATCATATCCTATCAAAGGTCCAGCAGACATATAATCATATAGACTCTCTTGGTATATCCGTTTTTTGTTTGGTTCAGACAAGACAAGGGTCAATGAGATGTTGTTGTCCACTAGAACAGCTTAATTACATTAATTGCATGCGATGCATTCATTCTACTTCTCTACCAAAGAAGAGAGAAGATAATGATATACCTATGTCTGCATTAAGTAGCTAGGAGAATGTACTCGGTTCATGTCAACCTTTTTTCTTATATTTCTCACTGAAATCCTCCAAGCATTGTTATTACTTTTCCTTCATCATGGCCTCAGCACAATCGAAAATACACGCAATTTCTATCCTCTGATCATTACAAAACAGACTGCAACTTTCTAAAATGTTGATGTCGTGAATTCTACTTAGGCTCATTATTTTATACAATCTCTCGATTAAGAAGCCATTAATGATTTGTTTTCTTACATGTAATTTGCAGGTCTTGCAAAGTTGCTTGGGAAAAATATGAATTCCTTTTCACATGTTCCTCCAGGCTTCAGATTTCATCCCACAGATGAAGAGCTTGTAGATTACTATCTAAGGAAAAAAGTCGCCTCAAAGAGAATTGACTTGGATGTTATCAAAGATGTTGATCTCTACAAAATTGAGCCCTGGGATCTTCAAGGTATCAGTTATCCTATAACCTACATTTGTAGCATGTTAAAATAAGTTATTGAAACTTTAGATTTTCAATTGACTTATTCGTTAATTTTGGCAGAATTGTGCAAAATAGGGACTGAAGAGCAGAATGAATGGTACTTTTTTAGCCACAAAGACAAGAAGTATCCGACTGGCACTCGCACTAATCGGGCCACAAAAGCTGGATTTTGGAAGGCGACAGGAAGAGATAAAGCAATTTACTTGAAGCATAGCCTCATTGGCATGAGAAAAACCTTGGTTTTCTATAAAGGGCGCGCCCCGAACGGACAAAAGTCTGACTGGATCATGCATGAGTACCGGCTCGAGACTAACGAAAATGGGACTCCTCAGGCAAGAATGGAAGTTATATAAGTCATTGCTTTAAAAGTAAATAAATTGCTTATGAGGAGGTCGATTTCGTACATGGATGCATGGTTAATTGTGATCACAATTAAGTCTCTCTATGGATACTATTAGAATCCTGAGGTAATTAATAAGACATGTCTAATAATATCCTTCACCTTTCATCTATGCTTATCTGGATAGATACATGTTAATTGTAATTATAATTATAACAAAAGTTAAATAATTTGGCACCAAGGGCATGCATAAAATATATGCAAGTTTCATTGAAAAAAGTCATGATACAAAGTCTATTGCATCAATTGTACTTTTTCCTCAAAGCATAATTAGAGTTCCTGTGTGATTTTTCCAAAAATGAGCCAAAAAAGTTTAACTCGATTAATTATGAATTTCGACAGTCATTTGCTCGGTTAAGATATCCCTTGAACATCATAGCCTTTATTTTCATGAAGACATTGTTTTTCTGGTTCAACAGGAGGAAGGATGGGTTGTGTGTAGGGTTTTCAAGAAACGGATGACCTCGATGAGGAAGATCGGCGAGTATGAGTCACCATGCTGGTATGATGACCAAGTCTCATTCATGTCGGAGCTCGATTCCCCAAGGAGGATTTCTCAGCCCTACCCGTCATCCTACCACCACCAATATCCTTGCAAACATGAGATTGAGTTGCAATACAACATGCCGCCACATGATGCTTTCCTTCAACTGCCTCAGTTGGAAAGCCCTAAGGTCACTCAATCAGCTCCAAATATCACTTGCAACTCGATGATGCCGTATGCGTACGATCGTAACAGTTGCAGCAATTTCCAGTCGTCGAATCTCACACAAGAGGAGCACATTCAGCAGATTCACCACCTAAACATGAACTCGCTTTTTGGAAACATCCCGAGCGAGCAAGTGGCCGACCAAGTGACTGATTGGCGTGTTCTCGACAAGTTTGTTGCATCTCAGCTCAGCCACGATAATGCCCTGAAGGAAAACCACTACTCCAATTCATCGACCATCTATCATGTTGGCGAGCAAGTGAGTATCGATTCTAAGAGGCCTGAGGTCCCGCAGGAATTCGCTTCGACATCGACCTCCAGTTGCCAAATCGAGCTGTGGAAGTGAAACATTACTCTACAGAAGCTAGACATACGATACATATACTGATCTTAGAAGGGGGCTACATGCTGAAGGACATCACATAATTTCTGTTCATTGTACATAATAAAACTAAAATGGTGTTGCCTGAAGCCTTTTAATTATATATGGCTATATGGGAATGGGAAGGCTTTGTGTGCTGGACGACTAGCTAAAAATCGAGGACACTGTGCTAATTGGAAATAAATTAGCATATGTACGTAGATGCAAGGTATGACCGAGTTGTATTGGGAATGTCTCGGTGCATTCTGAATGTACTTAGCTTTTTTGCATGAAATATCTTCATGTGAACTCAGAATGGAGTTTCTTGTTTTACCCCCTTATATCATCTACTATGTTCTTCTACTTGAAATTGCAATTTGAGTTTATCAAAGCACATTGTGTTTTTCTTTCTGTTGAAGAACATTTTGATTTTTTTCTTCTCCCAGGAGAAATAGTATGCAACTTCATTCTAGTTTATCACACTGATTCCGCTCAATACTTGTCCTCATCTTGAATTAACTAGCTCAAATTTATCAAAGAAGAGATGGATATACACATCAGAGGAGATCATTGTATCTTTTATTCTAAGATTGCCAACCGTCCGCATTTTCTTGAGAAAACCAATCACTCATGCTTAACATTCAAGCCTAAGACCTCCTGTCATCACTTGACCTACTCATCAATGAAAAGAAGTTGATTGATTTTGCAAAGAAAATTTTGACGCCTTATTAACTGATTTCTTCTGGTACATTCAAATCTAACAAATTTGCTTGCAGGTCTTATAGCTCAGGTTCAATATCTTGAATCAGATGTCCTCTTACTTCAACAAAATAAGTGCACAAGATGAAACAACCTCTCTTTTGGCATCTATTGTCCATGTTAACCTAAATTGCGCAATCCCTTAGAGTACAACTTCTTTTATAGTCGCCAATATGTGTAATCTCATAAATTGCAAGCACATGAGAGAGAGAGAGAGAGAGAGAGAGAGAGAGAGAGAGGAGCTTGGCGGGGCGAGGAGGAAGAGGTCAAATGTGGGTGCTCTATTGTCTTGAGTATGCTTTAAGGTCAAGAGTAGATACTTGTTGCATCTAATCTAGCAACAAGTGCAACAACTTCTTTACTCAAAACGTTTTTGCGTACACCTGGAGTAAGGCTAGTGATTAAAAAATTTGACTTGATCAAACAAACTTTGAGTTTGGATTATCGCTTATTCTTAGCCAGGTCTTCCATACACTCCTACATTTGTCAAAGAAAAGCATAAGATAGTTGTTAAGGTAGTTTCATAATGTCAAAATTATTTGACTCCTTCCATTTACTCTGCAGAATTCCACAGGTGTGGAAGAGGTCAAATATAACGTAGAATTGGCACAGTTTTTCTTTTGAAAAAAGGAAGATAAAAACCCAAGAAACTCCATAACTTAATTGTGGCGATCAAGAACTTGCAAGACTAACCTCGCGATAGCAACAATGGTCAAATTGCTGACAGAGAGATGAATGTAAGCAATGAGTTTGAGCAGGCTGTATTGTGTCACTATGCATGACTGAATAATCAATCTACGTGATCTTCTCAATGCGCTATGTTCTTGTGCTTTACTAACACTTCATATTCTATGCATGCAACCCAAAAAAACACGTGCACAATACCTGTCGAACAAGGTGATAGACTGAAGCCGAAGAATGCTTGTAGAGGCACAACATATGAATCACTACGTGCCAACGAAACGGACATTCCTTCTAAAGACCACAAAATGCAAAGGATCTAGAGAGAAAGAGCTATAATTTAGGGAACTCCCTGATAAATCTGAGCATGCATCCGTGGGAAAGAATAGAGAGCGAGAGCAAAGCATTAAAGGACAGCAAATAGGAGTTACAGATTGGTTTCATGACTCACTCAGAAACTATCAAAAACACATCAAGCATTCCTTGCTTCTTCTATGCCAAAGTTGCAGGACTCGTACTCGACAAGAAACCCGGCAAGAAACCCGGCACTCAGACTGCGACAAGATCAAATTTGAAAATTGAAGTTCGGTTTAAATACAAATGCAACGAACCCAAGTAACAAACTTATGGTGGTGAATGGATGGACACAAAGAACGGTATGATGGTGTTTTTGTTTGGCTGTCTTTGACTTGGAGTCATTTCTTGCTGGGTTCAAGTCAAGCATGAGAATCCCGTTAAAGCAATGAGAGACATAATGATTGGGCGTGCTCTCATGGACTCATCATTCGTTAGCTCTCACATGGAAAGAGAGAGAGAGAGGATGGAGGGTCGAAACCCTAGGATTGTCAGTGCGTTGTTTCTGACTTATGTTTGATCTGTAGGAACTTATTAATTAGGCTTTTCATTTTAGGGTTTGGGCCACAACCCAGAATCTTTATTAATTTTAAGGTAAATTAGGACAAAGAATAAAGAATTCCATCCATTTTCCTCTCACCCATATGCGAAGAGAGACTACTTTGATTTGTTGATGCAAGTACTATGTAGGCTCATTCTATAGATAATACAAAAGATAAAGATCAGTTAAAGTATGTAAAATGCGAATATGTTTAAAAACAAAGGAATGTTTCAATTCAGGTACTGTACAAACTCATTTTATGGATGACATGATCGGTAGAACGTATTACAATAGGTGAAACAATGTGTAAATGCGTTTGGTGCAGTAGGAATGAGCCTAGGCGATAATTTTGTTTCAAAGCTGAAAACACCATGCGCATTGACGCTTTCTTCGGTGAATGAATAATTGGGTTTTTGTAAATTATGTTGTTTGAACTTTGAAGGCTAAGTAAGATGACATCATTAAGCATCTGAAACAAACCCATGTGAGACAGCATCATCATGTGTCCAGCTGAATACTGAAGCCTCCCACTGTCTTTGGAGAATGAAGATGAATTTAACGTGCCTTGCTTTTCAGTGTTTCATCGTTGTTTAATGTAATTAATCCAATTTCTCAACTAAATAACTGATGTGGGCTGCAACTCTAGCTTTGCTTTAGTAATTTTATGTATATTCAAGTCAATCCTCTTTCTGCTACAGTCCAAGGAAAGAACGAGGGTCCTTCCCGCGTCAAGAAGAGGACACCATATTATATCTTTCAGACAATTAATAATAACAAATTCGCGTAAAAAGATACAGCATCAGCGAGATAATATATCCTAATGAAATCCCACATGCAACTTCTGCATGCTTTTATATTTAGGTTCACTTTATGACATGGAGAATGACCCTAACATATTGAATTGTTCAAAACGTGCTGCTTTCTTACAAGGAGCGGCAGCATATTCCGTCCTTGTTCCTATACCACGAAACCACAGTATTCCATGATTTAGCTTGTAACATTGGTCTTAAACATCTAACCACTTGTGTTATGTATAATCAGCGCGTCACATAGCGCGTCTATTCCAACTCTGCAAAAATTGCATGAGTCAAGTACAGGTCTAAGAAAATAGGAAAGGCGTATGTACGTATAGTTAAAGAAATCTTACAGATGTCCAGATTATAATGGGCCAATTATGTATTTGCATGATTAGAAAGCAGGCAAAATGTATGTATACACATATATACCAAATGAATCCGCGGAAAGATTGTCCTCTGAAATACACTTGCAGCTCCTGACTTTTTGCAAGTTGAGTTGAGGAATCTCATGATTGCTCTTAAAAAAGGAATGGTGGAGAGAGAGAGAGAGAGAGCGAGAGAGAGAGAGAGAGAGAGAGAGAGAGAGAGAGAGAAACGAGAACATATGGGGGGTGTGATTGTCAGTGAATATGGTGTGTAACTCCCAATATAATCTGTAATACATAAGAATAAAGAGGGAAGATAGATAGAGGTGTTTCTTATATGATTGATGGTCATTAATATACTTCTGTAGCATGTGAGCTGATAGCTTGGACATAATCTGAAGTTACGTATGCTCACTGTAGATCGTCCTCTGAATACATTGGTAACCAAGAACCAATCTTAGGGAAGGAGATACAGTGTTGGGACATTCTCTTTTGGTAGGGTCAAAACTCGGGTTTCACTGTTTCTTGAGATATAATTGACTTGAACTAGTAAAATGATTCCACATGACAGCTTCCGAGTTTGACGAAGAGGAACAGCCAAGAAGAGAGACAAGCCATTCTTTCTTCACTCATTGATGCTGCACCTCTTTTTCGGTTCACAGTAATTCTCGATGGTCCCCTGAAACGGAGTAGTAAAGTCCAAGCAACTTCTGCTGAGGGGACCCAGACTTGGCTTGGGAGTTGGGGAATATTGTCTCTCTCTCTCTCTCTCTCTCTCCACCACTCGCTTTTCTGTGAGCTTTCATGAGATTCCTCAACTCAACTTGTAAAAAGCCTCTCCTCCTTTTCCTCGATTTGATTCATCTCTGGGAATCGATCTTAGCTTCCAAGGCTCATCCTCATCTTTTGAAGAAATTATACTACTGAATAACGAAAGGGTTAGATCCGCACGTCCAGATGCACTTGTTTACAGTCGAGTCGAGCGGGAAAGATGAACTTACGTAAGTTGTGGAGCAAGAGTTTACTAAACAATTTGGCATGTTCCATCAGTTTATATCAACCGAGACTAGAAAAAAGCCTGAAGTTCAGGAATCGAGCAGATCATTTACACTTAAGAGTGGCGATCGTGTAATGGCTTATAGGAAATAGGTATCTTACTATTCTCGACTGCAATAGTTAGACTATAAGCACAGCATTGGACCCTATATAACCCTATTTGGAGATGCGATTTAATTAGTGGGTTCTAAAGTGAAGTCTGACTTGTCTGATTTATACCATCAGTAAGACTCGGGTTGACTTTTGTCCTGATTTGCAGCAGATATAAGTCGAATTAATGACATATATTGAGAGTCTAGATTGTGCAACACACACTCAAATATTGCCATTCTTGTGATTGATTGCCTCTATTATTGAATTAGTTAAAGATAGGATAGGATAGAATAAGAAATCATCAAATTACTTATATCTTATAGAGTGATATTTTATTTGGAAGAAAATGTGAAAACCCTACAGCAGTAGAGACAAATAAAGAAACTCAATGACTTGTGGGATTTTGCATCCATCGCTTAAGTAACCGCTATCGCCAGCGGATGCGGAGGCTGCATCACACAGGAGGTGACAATACACAAATGCCTCTTCTTTTTTTTTTTGGTCGTTTCATTTTTCTTATCGCCCATGCTTACTTCAGTCGGGGCCTTGATTGTTCTGTATAAGCCATATCCAACCTATGTGGTATTTTTTTTCTATTTTGGTTCGAAACTAAAAATTGCACTAAAAAAGGTGGAGGAAGGAGATGCATGAGATGATGAGACTCGAACCAAGACAAGGTCCCTCGACAACAGATGCCTATACTGGCGGAACCAACTGTTGATCCTTCATCTCATCCACTGGCAAACATATCACCATAAGAGGCACCTTTTTTTTGTTACAGAAGGTCGCATCTACAAGGGGGTTGTCTTCGCAACGATAATTCGAACAAAACCACATAGCAAGCGAAATAGGATCAAGACATCATGGCCCTGAAACAGAAACCGCACCTCAACCACAGGCTTCGGGCCTCTTTAAGATAAGACTTTCAAGTAACAGCCCAGTTTGCTCCGCCCCAATGTTCTGTACCCTTTGAGTCGGGGTAATCTATTAATTCCCCTCGATTTCTCCATGTTCAGTGATTGCGCAAATTATTTCCTAAGGAATTTGTATAGCGAGTGAACTCTCTATCTTTTTCTCTCTCTCTCTCTCTCTCTCTCTCTGGTAATTTGATTAAGATAGGAATTGAGAGAGAGATCTATAACAGGTGGCCTCTTCAAATGGTATTCAGCTATGGGAGACTAGAACATACAACCCCATCTGAACTATACTATAGTCACAGCGCAGTTTTAAGCTCGCCAAGTTCGAAAAATCAATTCAGTATTTCCTGTTCGACTCATCTCAGCATCAACAAATGTCTACAATCAAACGCAACAACATCGATGTTCACGACTGGTATACAGTGTACTTCATTTGACAGATGCTTTTTTTATGTACAAGGATGAACATTACAACTTCCCAAAAGAATACCTCTCAAAATTTACTTTGCATCGCAAAGTCCAGTACTCTCATCACAGAAGCCATCTCGATCAAGCAATTTTGGTGGGGGTGCACTTAGCAGAGGTGAAGATGGACTGCCATAAGCGTTGCGACGGCTGTTTCCACAACCCAAGCTTTTTCTGGTGTCTATCCCTGTAATTGGGTTTGTGCCACTTGCGTACTTGCAAAGAGCCTTTATAAACAGATACAAGTATTTTAGAGCGGCTAGACCATTAAGCAAGCAAGGACTACCAGATAAACAGGTCCAGCACATGCACTGTGATGTAAAATCTGAAATTGAGCTAGAAGATTTTGACTGTCCAAGAGATGGAAGCTGTCCTTTCTATAATTGTCCACGCATGGATTCATTAACAGCACAAAAATATCAAAAAGTTCAGTGAACTGGCTATAGTATTTTGGCTCATGCTCACAGCCAACAAAATAAAGAATGGTGTTAAACGGCCTATGAGTTTTTTTTTTTTTTGGTAAGGTATTAAACGGCCTATGAGTTCTTGCCTGCTATATCCTAGAAGCTGCAATTCATGCATGATTTCAACTCTTCTTCGCATACTTTAAGCCAACAGTTAAACATGCACAAGACACTGATCAATTCTTAACCTTTAGCTGCGAAGCAACCAACAAAACTGGCAATTATAGTCTAATTGAAAGTGAAAAGAGCAATTATAAGTAAAGGCAGGAAATAAGGAATCAAAAATTAGGTTGTGTAGCCAAAACAGTAAAGAATCAATGCCTATCTATTCATCGAAAGAAATTTAGAAAGGGACAAAAGGAAAAAGCCGTGGCTATGTATATTATGATTATTGAGAATGTGCTGTGATCGTGAAACTTCCTATCAGTCAAAATTCTCATTTGCTGATAGATCACTTTGATCTCAGGAGGCTAGATGATCCTTGCATATTGACAGAGTTGTTTATATTAAGCGACTTGTAGATGCACATAATCCACTGAATATACATGGTCACCACAGTATGTTCCAGGCTTCCAGTGGCTCCAAGAACCAAGGGTTGGTGGAAGTAGTGGAGTAACAGAAACAGTAAATATATGCAAAATGAAGACCAAAACTAATGAAGTTCGGAGAGAACAACTGTTGGAATACCTGCTTTTGTGGAAGATCCAGAACAGCATCGCTGAAGTCAGCACCATCAATAATGGCACCTCCAAGATCACTGCGGGTCAGAACTGTTCTTGCTAGCACTGCATTGGTGAGGTTAGCTTCATTGAGAACCTGAATTCATGCAAAAATTTACAGCAAGTTACAAGTTATGACAATTATCAGCACAAGTTCAAGTTCATCCAACATCTAATGACAATAGCCGTCCAAACCTCAAAGCATAAAGCTTATTTTACAGAGCTGGGAGGAATATGTAAATAGAACACTCAATTTATCCATGATTAATAGTTGTTTACACTTAAATTAAGGAATGAAGTAAGAGCCTTTTATCTTTACCATGCGATCCATCAGCGTGTCACTCAAGTCTGCACCTGAAAATCACAAATAGACAAATCTTAGCATGAGATGGACCAATGGAAAAATTTTCATACTGCTGCACAAACAAGTATATGGAGGTATTAGGCATACCCGTAAAGTTTGCCTTATATGCGACAGCTTTCTCAAGATAGGCGCCGTTGAATGTAGAACCACTGAAGTCAGATTCCCTCATATCCGCAGCTGTGAAATTGGCTCTTCTGTATCAGCCATTTACACTGTATTAAAAACGTAAAATTTAACTAGACATTGCGTTAGCAAATATTATCCACACAATAGACAGCTGCATAAGCTCGGTCTAAGTAGGAAGCATATGACAACGAGCCATGAATAATTTGACGCTGAAGTGATCGGCCAAGGACGAAACAACATGGAAATGCAGATTTATAGGAAGAGCAGAATCCAAATGATGCAACTTTTGATAGCTAATTGCCATCTTGGGTTAAATTAATTACAATGTTCATCAATTAACTAGCAAATAAGTCACATAATCTTCCTGGTAATGAATAATAGAGCTCTTGTTACAACTTACAAGTGGTAAGTACAGTGAGATGGAGAATTACCTGAAATTTTCATTCACGTGCACTGCTTTCCTGCAAGCCAAGAAACCACAATTCAACAACATCCAACACAGCTATGCAACAGCGGAAGTTACGAAAACTCAAAGAAGTTTCGACCTGAGATCCGCCGAACCAAACTGCGCGGCCGACCCTATCCCGAACTCGCCGCGGGTCTCCGCTTCATACTTGTTGAGATCAGCACTTGCCGGCAGAGACGAGCTGCATCCAATGACGGCCGCCGCCAATGCAGTGGAAACCACCGCTCGCCAAGCTTTTGACTCTGCATTCGGGGCAAAAGGATGCATCGATCAGTTCACCACATCGTTTTTCTTCTCCCTTTCCACTCTCGGAATCAATTTCACATTGCTCGCTAACTTTTTTCCGCACGCAATCCAGCCACTTTCAGATAGAAGATACCGCGCGATCATAACGAGAAATTCGTGCTGAAAACGAAATTGAAACAGGAAGTACGAAGACGGGCGTGCGCATGCGCGAACTGCGAAGTTCGATACGACGGAGAACGGGAACTCACCGCGAAACGGAGCCTTCGCAGGAGGCTCAACCTCGCGCGCGACGCCGAATGGCTTCGAAGCGAGCTGCAGAGGCTTGGCAGCTCTCCAATTTGACGAAGAAGGAGAAGAAGAAGAAGAAATGGAGATGGATTTGATGGATAGAAGAGAGATCGAACCGAGAGCCGCCATTGAAGGGGAGGGACAGAGAGAGCGGAGACAGAAATCCTTATCCGGAAACAGAACAAATGCGGCACGTGACACGTTCGTGATCGTCCGTTTGTTTCTGTTGGGGGAGGCGAGAGGAACAACGATTGGCTGTGATGAGCACACGTGCGACTGCTTCCCTCGTTCGGTTGATCAGATGCCACGTGTCTGTGCATTGGTCGCACCAGGACGAGACTACAAACAAACAAAAAAATCCGTCGGCACACGGTGCGACTGCACATGTGCTGGTAGATAAGGTGGGCTCCATGTGGAGTCTACCTTATCTAACGGTGCATGTGAATTGGGTTGACATGGATCGAGAGCGTGCACTTCTTGCTTTCCAAGTATATTCCTGTACAGTATCTACATGTTGCATCTACAGCTATCGAGTTAGATTGTACACAACGGGTATATGGAAAGGAGATGGGAATATAAATTTTACGCAATTTGAGAATACATTACAGCTGAATGGGATTGATAGAGCATGTACGCTTGTACCGGTACAGGGAATACAGAATGGTATGCACGCAAAAGTCGACTGTACTGCGGAAGAACAAAATCTAATGCTGGTCTTTTCTGTCGATGCTTTGCTTGGGACTCTATGGGGTGTGAAAGCAGAGTTCGTCTGCCATATCTTGAGCGGGGCGGTGACATTTGCCTCGGCAACATTGTTGAATAAAGAAGATCCCGGGTGTCTCCATAAATTGCCTTCGTAGGATAATTGTGCGCGGTGATGATGGTTCTACCTTCTCGAGCAAGCAAAGGTTCCTACTAGGAGATGGTCCACCTGGATGAAGAGAGAGTTGCTCCGGACGAATCTGATGTTCTCAGATAGGCAAGCGTTTCGTATCGAAACAATTGAAGGTCAACTCACCAGGATTCTCAGGGACAACTTTTCTCCTTCTAGTACTGGGACAGAGCTCCCATAGACTTGTCTATTGACATCGCTTGCCTCGGAAGATCTACCAGAAAAAGTCGGAGATTCTATGACTGAAGCAAGCCCAGTTCGATGAAGTAGATGGTGGAGCCAATCACATAGAAAATTCGTGATAAGAGATAGGGTGTGTGTGTTGACTGAGGTAACAGTGGCAGCCAAACAGTCAATCTAGGAACTTTACCATGGAAGAAGGTAAAGAACGCACTGTGATCGTGTTAGTGGTCTGCCCTAAGAATCAATCAAGGTTGATACTCTAATATTAGTTGTGGATTAGGTTGTGTCGGAAAACCGATCTTCACTATACTTAGGTAGTCATAATGTGTTGCTAGAGACCGCTTATGACTTGTGGGCCAAAAGAGTTTTGGGCACACCGCTAATGTTTAGTGAACCTACAAGGTCGCACACAATAGCGAACGGACTTAATATTGTCTATGCACCTTGATCTACTTAAGAAGTAGATTTTAATTTATTCTCCTATTTAAATTATCTACGCGGTCGTACGCGTTATGAGATAACGATTAAACATACGATTGACGGTGGACGGTTTGACGGGCCCAAATAGCCCGCCCACTTCTTTTAATTCCGCTAGATAATGAGGCTGTATAAATAGATAGAGAATCGTTCTCTGTCTAGGGTTTTTCGATAGAGTATCGAAAATCAAAAGGCGTTCAAGAAAAGGAACTTCAAGATCTTTCGCTAGCACGTGGATCGTTGGAGAATTCCGTTCGTGTGTGTGTGATACCGGAGAGGCGCAACACTTGGGGCGCCATCCAAACACAATCGGCTTGATTTATCTTCGATCTCGCAAAAGGTACGTATCGAACTTCCGTCTCGATTTCAATATACACATGGATCCCGTCTAGGGTTCTATATTCCGCCTTGTTATCGTAATGAACCCTACAAAGGGTATCGAGTAGCCGCTGTGATATATTGAAGTTGAATTGGAAACCCTAATTGTTGATACATATGATGTATGCCCAAGTGAGTCTAAATTAGGGTTAGAAGAATTTGAAATACGAATTGATATGATCAATTCAAGGAACGAAGGTGGATGGGTCGATGTCGATCCCGTTCCGCTCGCTGTCGAGGCAAAGGATGCGCCCGGGCTGCTGCCCGAGGCGGAGACGGCGGCGAAGACGGCGGGGCGGAAACGGCGCGCGCCTGGCTATTGCCTCAAAGTGCGGGACGCGCGGGCGGAGACGATGGGCGGATATGGCGGCGCGTCCGGGTGCTGCGCGAGGCCGAGACGGGCGGCCGGAGACGGGGCGCGTCTGGGTCTCATGCCCGAGGCGGAGACGGCAGCCGCGCTCTAGTCTTCCTCGGCCAAGGCCGAGTGACTCGAGGCGTTCGGCCAATTGCGTACGGTGAGGGCGCGGGAGGCGGCAACACTGATAGTCCGAAGGGCCTCGCCCCTGACCCCCGAGGTGGCGCCGCCTCGACTTCAAAGCGTGGCTTTTCACCTTTGACCGCATGGAATTGTTCGTTCCTATATATATGATTGATATACCTTTGTTATGATAAGTGATGCTTTGTTTTTGTTCATAACATGTATACATCCATCGCTAAATAAACAATAAGAGTCCCTAATAAAATTAAGTAATAATATGATGCCTTTCCAATCATACACCTATTAAGACTTGAATCGTCAATAGATGAGCCTGCCAAAGCAGGGTGTCTTTAACTATTTGAGTAAAATAGGATGGATAATGGTTATCCATGAGTCAAGATTGGTTTACTTAACGAGGCTATCAAAACGGTTTTGGGCCTTGAGGCATAGTGTTTGGGGATATGATATGAGATATCAACCCCAACAACCAAGAGTTGTATTCGATACAATTGACAAAGGGTTGTCTACCTAAATAACTTAGTCTTGAGCGGTAAGCCAAAGTTTACTCGAGTCTTGGTAAAATATGGATCTTGGTCCACTATACTTTTGGGACACATGTTATAAAAGTATAGTGGGAGTTTATTATTTATAATGTTAATGAACAATTCACTTTGCATATTTGTTGTAGATAATGGCAAATAGCTCGCATCACACTTTTCATCGCGATCCGTCCTGAGAAGGACAAATTGAATGGTTCGAATTTTTTGGATCGGTATAGAAGCTTGAGAATTGTTCTCAAGCAAGAGAAAAAGGATTATGTCCTGGAGAAACCACTCCCTCAGAAGGCACCTCCTTCCAATGCTCCCCATGCTGAAAGGAATGCTTATCAGAAGCATAAAGATGATGCATTGGATGCATCATGTCTAATGTTAGCTACCATGAACTCAGACCTTCAGAAGCAGTTTGAGAACGTGGATGCCTATGATATGATCATGAACCTGAAAAATTTGTTTCAGGAGCAGGCACGTACTGAAAGATACCAAACGGTAAAGACCTTAATTGAGTGCAAGCTAGCAAGTGGGAGCTCAGTTAGCCCATATGTCATAAAGATGATAGGTTATATTGAAAACCTGGAGCGACTGGGCTCTCCCATTAGCCAAGAGTTGGCTACTGACATTATTCTTCGGTCATTGCCTCAAGATTATGACACGTTTGTTATGAACTATAACATGCATAATTTGAATAAGTCTTTGACTCGAACGCATGGGATGCTCAAATCATGAAGAGCAGAATATAAAGAAGGACCCTACCCCTAATGTTCTCATGGTTCAAAAGGGAAAGGCTTTAAGAAGCCGGTAAGGTCAAGGGTAAGGGCAAGGGCACTAAGCCTAAACCCAAATCCAAGACCAAACCGGTCCGATCACGATGCTGTATGCTTCCATCATGTGGGAGAATGGACATTGGAAGAGGAATTGCAAGAAATATTTGGAGGATCTCGAAGAAAAGGGAAGTGAGACTTCCGATTCGGTATTTATGTTATAGAAGTAAATGTTACTACTAGTTCTACTTCATGGGTATTGGATACCGGTTGTGGTACTCACATTTGTATGAATGTGCAGGGACTAAAACGAAGTAGAACACTTACAAAAGGTGAAGTGGAGCTACGTGTTGGGAATGGAGCAAGAGTTGCTGCATTAGCCATAGGAACATATGATGTAGCTTTACCTTCCGGCATGTTTTTAGAACTCGAATAATTGCTACTATGTACTGCTATATACGCAGAATATTATTTCGTTTCTTGTTTGGACAAGGAAGGTTTCTGTTTTGATATAAAGAACAATAGTTGTTCGTTTTATCTTAATGGATTATTTTATGGTAGCGCCCATATTGTGGATGGGATATATGTTCTAAGTCTTGATGTGCCAATCTATAATATAAATACAAAAAGGTTTAAATCTAATGATTTGAATCCAACCTACGTATGGCATTGTCGATTAGGCCACATAAACGAGAAACGAATTCACAAGCTTCATAGCGATGGACTATTAAATTCATTTGATTTTGAATCATTTGATACATGTGAATCTTGTTTAGTTGGAAAAATGACAAAAGCTCCTTTTACTAATCAAAGTGAGAGGACAAAAGAATTATTGGCCCTTATACATACCGATGTGTGTGGACCACTAAGTTCTACAACCAGGAGGTTATCGCATTTCATTACATTTATCGATGATTTCAGTAGATATGGATATGTTTACTTGATGAAATATAAATCTGACTCCTTTGAAAAGTTCAAGGAATTTCAGAATGAAGTACAAAATCAACTTGGCAAGAATATCAAGGCTCTTCGATCTGATCGAGGAGGAGAATATTTAAGCCAAGAGTTCAATGACCATCTCAAAGAGTGTGGAATTGTTTCACACCACTCCCCCGGAACACCACAAAGGGAATGGTGTCTCCGAGAGGAGAAATCGAACTTTGTTAGACATGGTTCGATCAATGATGAGTCATTCAGATCTTCCATTATCTTTCCGGGGATATGCACTCGAGACAATTGCGTTTACACTAAATAGAAGTCCATCAAAAGTCAGAGAGAGACACCATATGAGATGTGGACAGGAAAAGTTCCTAGTATGTCTTTTCTAAAGATTTGGGGTTGTGAAGTTTATGTAAAACGTTTACTTTCTGATAAGCTTGGACCCAAATCTGATAAATGCTTCTTTGTCGGATATCCTAAAGAAACGAAAGGATATCACTTTTAC